GATAGACTCCCCCAAATGTAAGTCATGATTTGACTCTTTTAAGGCTTTTGAAGTAGTGTGCCAAATGATTTTAAAACGCAATTTATACTAGCGATTTAGAAATGCCAGTATTGTGCCCTCCTGAGTACTGCACATCTTATCATTATTATTGCCTACCATTTGAACAGTTTCAAAATTACTCTTTCAATTTGCATCTTTATTTCTAGTAACCATGAGGAGTTAACATGCTTCTTAATTATTTTATTTTTATTGATTATAATTTTGAGCAAGAGGCATTCCATTGGAAGCAGCTCAGTCTTGGGAAAGAACCGCTGGTCTAGGAGTTTAGGCAATAGCTTTCTAAGTGGCCTCTTTGCTTCCACATTTGACCGTCTCCAATCCATTCTCCCACCAGCCACTTCTGGAAGGAAGACTGGGCAATCTACTTCTTTAGAGATACCACCATGGGGGGACTTCCAGTAAGATGGAGGAATAGGCAGAAAAGTGACACAGACCCTCTTCAACAAAGAAAAGAAAAACCAATTGACAGAGATACAGAAGATAATCCTGGAGCCCTGAGCTTTGAAAGGAACTATACAGAAGTGGATTAGGTGCCAACTAGTGGAAAAACCTGAATGAAAACAGTGAGTACAGAGATGGTCAGAGCTGCGGACTGTCAGCTACTCTGACGGGACCAACAGCCTGAATATTTCCAAGTGGTGTTGGGACCTGAGAATTGACCTAAAGATCAGCCCTGGTCACCAACGGCTGCAGGGATGACTGCGCTGGTGGCCTATGACTAGGAAGGGAAACAGCCTGAGCTGTTGACTTTCCGCTGTCTGGAGGGCGCAGCCATTTTGATTGTTTACGTGCAGCAGCCATTTTGGATATGTAAAGTGAACAAAGGGCGCAGCCATTTTGAATATTTACAAGCGGTGGCCATTTTGGACATTTAAAGTGACCAAGGGAACAGTCATTTTGAATGTTCACAGGTGACTGAGGCGCAGCCATTTTGAATCTTTACAAGTAGCAACCATTTTGGATTTTAAAGTGATAGCATTCTCATTCAGATTCCAGGGACCTAAGAATAGGTTCTGTTTGCCAAGGCTGCAGGGACATATGAAAGGCTGACAACAGCAAAGGAGACAGGTGGTGAGTGTATAAGTGCTGCCCACTAGCAAATAGAGGAGCACAGCACAGTACCCTGCTTGTGAAGATAACATACAAACAAAACAAAGAAAACAAAAATCGTGGGCAAGTCACTCTAACATACAATCACCAATTAAATATAAATACAAAAATGTCACAATGCCTTGGAGATAATAGAGCATCACAGTCCACACAAGGAAGCAAGATAAAGCAGGAGAAACAAGGGACCAGGATATAGACCCAAAACACATCCTTGAGGAAAATGCAGCATTGGAACTCCCTGATAAGAAACTCAAAAGAATTATATTTAGGCATCTTCAACGAATTGAGAGACAGATTAAGGAAAACACAGAGAAACCCTAGAAGAATTTTGAAAGACAATACAAGAACAAAATGACAAAATAAATGAAAAATTAGAAATGATACAAAATCTACACACAGAAATCCAAAAGATTAATACTAAATTTTCAGAAATAGATAAGACATTGAATGGGTAAAAGAGCAGAATTGAATCAATGGAAGACAGAATTAGGGAGATGGAAGGC